CGAGTGAGACGGGAGAGCTCTGAGGGCAGCTCAGCTTCCCAGTAGGCCCAGTCCCTGCAAAACTTTCATATAAGCCATGCAGGAGGAGATAGCAGTGCCTGTGGATGAGGAATTGACTACATGGTTTATAGTTGTTATTCAGCGCTTTACAGATGTTCACTTTTCAGACTACTGTTTACAAATCTCTTTACCCTCACACCACCAGTGAGGTGGGTTGTTGGGGGAGGGAGGCTGGTGTGGGGAAGATCCTGGAGACCTGGGCCTAGTCCTTGAAGGTGGGGGAAGGGCCTGGAGGAGTTGGTAAGCAGTGGGTTTGGCAGGAGAGGGGGTGACATATGTGGGGAGCCCTGGGGACCCAGCCAGGCAAGCGGCTGGCAGGGAGAGCAGACGGCGTTAACCCATGTGATGCCACACTGTCTGACCCTGCCAGAGAGTAGCCTCTGCAGGAGGTGTTATTTTCTAAGAGACTGGGGTTTGGGGGTCAAAGGAGCAAGTCAGTCAAGAGGAGCCTGGGCCTGGAGCTGCAGTGTTTCTGAGAAGTGACCCCAGACTTCAGATCTTCCATCTTTGGCTTTCTCTCCTTGTTTTGTTTCCACATGGTATTGTCAGTCTGTCTTTCTCTGTTTCTGCTGATCTCTGTCTCCACTTCTCTGTGCCTCAAGAAGGTGACAGCGGGTCTCCACTCTGACTCACTGTACAATCTGTCACTCTCTTTGCTTCCAACCTGTCTAATAAGCCCCCCTTTTCAGTGCTGAGTCCTTGGGCTCTCTCTTGCCCCTGGTCCCCTAGGCCTTATAGCTTTTGTGTCCCAAGGCAGCCCCCCTTTCTTCTTTCCTCTCCACTCACCTCTCCTCAGCTCTGAGCCCATCTTCAATCTCATTATGGCCTCCGACCACTGTACAGCCCCCACCCCCAGTCACTTCTCCTCCCTCCCCCATCCATCTGTCTTCCCCTCAGCCCTTCTCTTTGTGTCCATCCATCTGTCACCACCAGCTCTGGGCCCACTCCCCTCATGGCCACGCCTGCCCAGCCTTTCTCCCCTCAGGCTCCATTCCCTCTCAGCACTCAGCTCCTCTTCCTCCTTCAGCTCCACTAGGATTTTCTACTATCTTAGTTTTTCTTTACTAGTTTATTTGATACCTCCATCTATTTTTTGTTTGTTTCTTTCTCTCTGTTTCTGCAACTCCTTCTCAGTTGAGAGTAGGGGGAGAGACTGGGGACTCTCCAGTCCTAGCCCCCAGCCCCTGAGCAACCAAGCAGAAAGGCTGGTAACACTTACTTACAATTGCATCACCTCAACTAATGACTTCTCCTTAAGCCTCCTGAGATGACCCTCCCATCCCTGCCCGCAGCTTTCTCTGGTTGAGGCCAGAAGCTGTGGTTGCCCTTCTCAACAAGAAAAGAAGTACCCCTCTAACTTCTGAGTTTGGATTCAGGAAAGAATAAATCACCAATCTGAGGTTCATTCTGACCCTGATTTCCAAGGGTTGCTGCCCAAACTCAACCTTAGCAACACCTGGTAAGGTTTTTTAAAGGATAGGATGCTAAGATATAGGCTCTCTTTTCTATCACACATGTCAATTTTTCCAAATCTTACTGCTCTACAATCCCAAAGGCGTGCAGTTGAAACCCACCAGCTGCTCCAATGGAACCAGGATGGACAATCTCTTCCCTTTGTGATTGCCTCTGAACATGCATTGGAGTGCACTGGCGGGTCAGCCACGAGTCAGTTCCGATTCAACATCACACCAGCAACTGTCCCTAGGACATTCCCCCTCTAGAACTATGCTACCTTAGGGAGGTCCTGAAATGACCAACCCTTCAAAATCACCCCCTGCCTGAAAAGTTTTGAAAGTGTGACCCATGATTCCAATTCTTTCTTCAAAGAATCAGCCTGTCGGAGTCAGGAGGAAAGTCAGAGACCTGTCTAATGCCACACTTTAGAGATGGGAAGGCCGGGACCCAGAGAGGTGCCTGCCTCTTCCAAAAAGTCACCCAGAACATCAGAGGTAGACCAGAAAATCTGGTCTTACACTTTTCCCAACAATATGAAGCTCCTTCTTATTGTTCCTGCCTAAAGTAAATCTATCTTCTGAACTTGGGTAGAACCAGTATTTACAGCATTAGTTTTGCATGGAGCATATGCTACCTCACCCGGCACGTTATATCTAGTGTCATGTCTCATCCTGCCATTAAGACTATGGCTTCTGTCTCTAAGGAAAGAGGCCATATCTCATATCCTTTTACGATGCCAGGATAGAATGCTTTGCCCATAATCATGTTCAATAAATGTCATGAATGCTGTATCTGCTAGAGAAGATAAAAGAAAGTTCTGATCCCCGCTCTATGTCTAATTTGCTGTTAAGACCTTGAGCAAGTAAACTCTTCTGGGCTATCATTTTCCCCTCTATCAAATGAGTTAGGCTATACACCGAATTTCTAAGATCTTGTTTCTTCAAAGAAACAAAGTCCTATTGAATATAGTAGGATTTCAGAAGAGGCTATTACTCTAGGTGAAAACACTGTCTCTTTAGATGTGCCTCCGATGGCAGTGACTGAAATGCTGGCAACAAAAGGGTAGAAAACCTCTTTCCCCAAAGTAGCTAGAGAGACACTAGCTTGCAGGTAAGTCCTTGGTGTTGGTCTTGAGGGAATCAAGACTTGTTATCACAACAGGCAGACACAGGGAAGGTTCTGGAACAGGGATGGTAAGTATAAGTTGGGAGAAGAGATGGTACAGTGTGAACATGCAGTAGGCAAGGTTATTAGGAGGGAAGGAAGCACTAAGGGAAAGGGAAATGGTGGGAGACCCTAGATTTTAGGAAACCCAGAGGTAAAGAAGACCTGGACCAATTAATGAAGAATGCTAAGAAGTTGAGGTGACTGGCCTTAACATGCTGCCACCCAGTCACAGGTGGTCTTCATGCACAGAAGGTACCTAAGAAGATCCAGGACTGTGGTCTCAGGAGGGGAAAGTGGTGATAGGGTATTTGGGGTTCCCACTGGTCATTTTTATCTGGGTGTGTGCACTTCCCGGGGGATGGTCTCTCAAAGAAGAAAGTGGCGTTTTGCTGTTTTGGTTTGAGTGCTGGGGATTTTTTGCAGCGGGAGGGGAAGGAGCTTGGGAAAAGAGAGGGGGTCATTGCTCATGTTCAGTATTCTTCTCTAGGCAGAAGAAACTGGAACACAGAAGGTCTCACAATTTGTATCACTCTCAATCACTCCCATCCTCAGCCCTTGATTCTCTGTAGCCTTTTTCATCCCTGTTCAGTTCCCTCACTGATACCCAACCACTTTTCTGTTTCCTGAAGCTGCCAGCAGGATGAGGAAGCTTACAGCTCTGTCCACTGGGAGACCCGCTGGCCGAGGGAGATGTGGAGCTGGCCCAGATGATGGTGGCAGCTGTGCCTGACTCCCGCCAGCACAGCGCTTCTCCAGCTCAGAGCTGAGAGTGGTAGGGTGGGGGACGCAGCGGGGTCTACATCCATATCCTGGAACCAAACACGTCCCCTGGGGGGCTTCAGGAAGAAATCTGGGGACAAATCGCCTCTGCCCAGCAGGATTTGAGAAGGTAAATGGCCTGATGAGAAACTAAGAAGAGTACTTGGGACCATGTAAAAATGGTCAGTGCTTTTCCATTATTGTTGGTCTCCAGGCAAGTATCAGAGACAGCCACTTGGCCGGCACGGAGGGAAGAATACTGGGTTTAAGCTTCTGCTCTTGTGGGTCCACTTCACCCACAGTTGACTGCCCACAACCATTTAGGATGTCTTCTATACTCCAGATTTTCCTTCCATGAAGACCCAGGGAACTAGAATCTTTCCAAGATACCTTTTACAAAGCCAACTTTCTCTTTCTACAACAACCCAAAACCACTCGAACGTTGCTCCACAGAAAGCCTACCATCTCAACTCAAAACTTTTGGCACTGCCATCAGGCGTTTACATGAACTGGCCCCAGCTTCACCTCCTGTTTATCCTTATGGCCCAAACACTCTAACAAACATGACCTGTACCTTTTCTCAACTCTATGCTTGCACTGCCAAACTTTTCAAACCACAACTTAAATGTCACCCCCATTTCCATCTTTACTTCTAATGCATTCTATAAGCCATTTCAGCTCTGTATAGAAAGTAGGAAGAAACTTTGTTAACATTGTTCTTGTCAGAGGGGACCAGGGCTCTGCAAGACGACAGTTTATGACAGACTTCTTCTGGGGTCCTCTGGAGAACCAGAAGAGGGTACACGAAGTAACAATTGCATGACTTCTGGGGCATAAGATCACTTAAATAGAGGACCTGGGAAGAAAAACAGGCAATGGCATGTGTTATAAGGGACAATTTATTTTAATGAAAGTTATTTATATATTTACAAAAAAAAAAAAGAAGGAAAACAATAAAACAAAACAAAAAAAAATACAGCTTAATAAAAAGTACAACTGACCACTGTGGGCTAGAGGTGGGATACCCACCTAGCAGCACGCCCACCCAAATGTGCCACCTGAGGGCCTGGAGGAAGGGAGACAGGGAGATGTCAGGCTCAGGCCAGAGATAACCCCGTCCTCCTCAGAGGTTCCTTGTAGTCTGATCCTTTGATTCTGGCATTCAACTTTTCATATTCATCTTCCTGGACAGGAAGGTAGTTGGGTGCAGGCAGTGAGGGGCATTGGGTTGGAAAGGGTAAGAGAGAAAGAGCAAATAGGAATCCTGAAGAAGGGTAAATTAAGATCGGCACCTTGAGAGCAAAATAGGAGCAAGAAGCTTCTATTTATAATCCCAGAATCTAGCAGGGTCAAGAAAGAAGGAAGTGGGGACAGGACAGTGGGGAGTGGGAAAAGTACAGGGGAAGAGGCATGTTTCTCTTACTGTCTCTTTTGGACAGTTCCGTTAATCTCAGTCTGAGCCAGGCCCAGAGAAGTTCCAGTGACAGACTAGTGGCTTGTGTCCCAGTGGAACAAATAATATAGAAACGGCAGAGACGGCAGGAAAAGCTGGGTCCTCCTCAGTAAGACACTGCTCCTGGCTCCCGAGGAGTAATGAAAAGGACGTCAGCTTTGGCATTGACGCAGTAGGTGACGATGAGTGAGAAGATGAGGATGCCGAAGCCCACCATCAGGGTGATAAACTGCAGGGTGTGGGGACAAGGAACAGGGAAAGAAAAAGCTCTTTTCAGAACTCAGTGCAGTCTAAGGTAACTCTGTGGGTTTGTGAAACCAAAGCATCAGAATTGTTTCTGGCTTCAAGAACCAAGGACTAGTCACATGCACCATTTACCCCCCTCATTGCTGTTCAGTTGATTCCACGTCAGAGCAAGCCTCTCAATCAGCTTCCCAAGACTAATTTTTTTTTTTTAATTATTTTTTGTCTGTGTACCATCAAATCGTATCTGACTGGTACAGGAGGAGACTGTCCCTCCTTCTCCAGCAGAGAATCTGGTGGATTCAAACTGCATACCTCTGGGATTGCAGTGCAGCTTCTTGCCACTAGGCCACCAGAGCTCCCTCTGAGACTAATCTTTTAAAGAAGAGACTATTCATCTTTCTCCCACAGAGCTCTTAGTGGATTCAAAGCACTGAACTCATGATTAGCAGCCTGTAATGTTATGCACTACACCTTTATGACTCCTACAATCATGGGTGCCATTCCCTAACCTGAGACTTAATTTTCTTCTTTGAAAAGAAGAGTAAGTCATCTCTGTCCTTACTTGAATTCAGCATTACCTGGATTTTAAATATTTTTAAGTTAGGACTCATGGCTTTGATCCTTCATAGCACCTGACTTTATTAATGGCAATTGTTCAATAAATATTAGATTGCTTTACTGCAATTTTTATGAGTTCAACTGTATTCCTCTAAGAGGTATGCTAGGGAGTTCTGGTGGCCTAATGGTAAGAAGCTGTGCTGCAATCACAAAGGAACATGGTTTGAATCCACCAGATGTGTCACAGGAGAAAGATGGGCAATCTCCTGCCATGCAATCTACTGCCTCTGAAAACCCACTGGAAGGTCAGTTAGCTATGGGTCAGTTCTGATATGACAGCAAACAAGAAAGGCATGTTGAAGGAGAAGCACCTGTGAAATGTGACTTTATTTGTAAACAAGGTCTCTGTAGATATAACCAAGTTAAGATTTCCATTGGATTAGGGTAGAGAATAGCATGTGACCCAAGAGGCAGCTATTGGTGTGACACTGCCATAAACGAAGGAATGGCAAGGAATGCTGACAAGTATGGGAAGCTGGAAGAAACAGAGGAGGATTCTCTGCTAGAGCTTCAAAGATAGCATGGCACTGCCAACATCTTGATTTTGGATTTCTAGTCTCTAGAACGATGAGAATAAATTTCTATTGTGTTAAGCCACCATGTTTGTGATAATTTGTCACGGTCGCCACAGAAAACTAACACACCGACTATGACAGAAGGGAAATGCCATATGGGAGTTAAAACTGTGGAGGGCCTCCCTGGGCTCCACAGGGCAAGTAAAGAATAACTTCTTGGTTCTCATGGGAGCGCATGGCCAGAGTGAACATGTAAGTGAACTCTTGGTGAAGAAAAGCTTCTTGATGGGACATGTAGACTGTACAGAGGCAAATTTACAGTAGGTTTTCACTGCTTAGGAGCTGGAAGGGAGTTATGAGACAAGAGGCAAGAGAAAAAGGCCAACACATCTCTGGTCCCTTCCCCCTCTAGCTTACCTCAAGCTCTTTGCTGGCTACAAGAAATATCCGGGCACTGATGTCTTTCCAGCGGCTCTCGGTCCACGTGGAGTACTCAGTAGAGCCCCATTCCTTCAGTTCAAAAGCAGGTGACAGAGCCCTGGCCAGTCGTGCTGTGGAACGCACACACCGGGAGAGTCGTTCTGTCTTGTTGGAATTCAGAGGGCCTTGAACCCAGGAATAGTCATACATCTGCACAGGATGACAGGCCGCAGCACAGCGCTAGAGTGATCCTCTCTGCACGTATTCCCTTTACCCTGCAGGTCCAGACTACTGCCTCTTTAACACTCAAGTTCAAAGGGTGCATCCTTCCACTTCCCCAACCCCATCCCCTAGAGGCAAGTGAGCCCCTAGGAGATCATCCAACTTTGCCAAGGGGACGGGGACCCTCAGGGCACCTCTGACACCCACTACCACTCACATCCTTGTTTTCATTTGGGACTGTACTTGGATCCTGGCACTGTTCTTGGGTAACATTGATCACCGTGCCGGTCAAATTTGCCAAGGCATACTGGACTACATAAGTGGTGTTGGTGGGGCTGGAAACGGCAATGTAATGTTGAAGAGGCCCATCACCTGAATGGAGAACATAAGGGAGAGGAAGATTTGTTGAAGGTGTGATGAGGATGGAAGTAGGAAGAGCACAAGATCGACAGGAGCTAGAAAAGTGAAGGTTCAGGGGAAAGGATCCAATAGATATCAAGAAATGAAAAAGGAAGGGGAGCTCTGGTGGCCTAGTGGCAAGAAGCTGCACTGCAATCCCAGAAGTACATGGTTCGAATCCACCAGATGATCTGCCGGGAAAGGAGGGACAATCTCCTCCAGTACCAGTCAGATCTGATTTGACGGTACACATACACACACACACACACACACAAATAATAATAAAATAAAATTTAAAAACATTAAAAAAAAAAAATGAAAAAGGAGAAGAACTCATAAGGGAAAAAGAACAAAACAAACAGACTTTAAACCAAAATGACAACTTTTCTCTACCCTGAGCATCAGAGTTCCATTCCCTCCCAAATGCTCACCTAAGTAGGACCTCAGGTCTTGCCTGATGATGGACTGGAACCAGGAGTTGTTGGCTCTAACCAAAAACCCATAGAGTAGACGGGTAACCTAGGAGTGGAAAAGGGAGAAGAGAGAACCTTGCGATGTGGAGCCCAGGAAAGGGATTATTAGTGGGGACCCAGGCATAAGACAGAAGGCAAACTGGTCAGAGACTCTGGGGTGGGAGAGCTTCAGCATACAATCGTGCAAGTGAGGCCCAGAGCTGGGAAAAACCTAGGGCCCATCTGCTCTTACCGTCTGGGGATCAGCCTGTACTGTGTCAGTGAAGGCGGTTCCTCCTGCGAGGTTATATAGGGCACGTCCCAGCACTGTGGCCACGTCCGCCAGGGCCTGTGGCAAGAGAGCAGGAAGCTGAGCAACTTCTCTCTGCTGCCTTCAAATATTAACACCCTAACCAACTGTGTTCCTCATCCTCCCAGCCCAGTCAGGTCAGTGCTACCTTGGCAGTGTCCGTCACAAAGTTCAAATCCTCTTCAGGGCTCAGCTGGTCAGGGTAGCTCACGTTAATGTTCTCAGCAGTGTCGTAAACGCTCTGGTAATAGCTGCCAGGAAAGGTGGTGTAAGCCTTTCTTGGCTACACTCAGCCAAAGCCTGGCCCTTATCCACCCTTTAATGTCCCTTATGCAGGAACTGAGTATCTCATTGTTCATCATCCAGAAGAAAGGAGAAGAGAGAAAATTAGGATCCCCTGTTGAAGGTACAGAGAATAGGGAAAAGGAGTGGAGGTGGGGGTGGGAGAGTGGTTAGTTAAAAACACAGAATTTCCTAAGAAATAAGAAAGAATATGTAAATGAGACCTGAATGCAGAAACCTTTCTTTCCTCAGAGACTTTTACTCACAAGACACACTTCCACATGGTTTGGGCCAGAAATACAGGAGAATGGTTAAGATAACCTTCAGAAAACCCTGCCAGTCTTAAGCCCCCACATCATTACAGCACATCCAGTTCTATGATTGTTCCAACAAACATACTGAGAGGGGCTGGGAGTGGAAGTGTAGGTGAGCAGATAAGTAGGCGAGCAAGTCCAAAGGAGACAGATCTTAGAGGGGGTTGTTGTTGTTGTTAAGTGCCATCGAGTTGTAGGTGACTCATAGTGACTCTATGAACTAAAGTCCTCAACACTTGTGTGACTTTCATCTTTTCTCCAGGTTCAAAGGGTTTCCTGAGGCAAGCTATTTACAGAAGTGGATGCCACTCCTGCTTCCAAAGAAGAAAATTCCCAGTCTTCAAGAAATGCCTACCCTAAAGAAACCCTAACTGCCACCCAAGCAGATATATGCACACCCATGTTTATCTCGGCTTTGTTCACAATAGCAAAGAGCTGGAAACAACCCAAGTACCCATCAACAAACGAATGGCTAGAGAAGCTTTGGAATATTCACACAATGGAAAACTATGCAGCATTGAAAACCAAGAAACTCATGAAATATTATACAAAATGGGTGATCGTGGAGGACATTATGCTGAGTGAAATATCTGTCACAAAAGGACAAATATGCATAGTGCCATTTTTGTAAAGCGGGTCTGACATCGGGTTTGGTGGGAATCTAAGAAGGGGTAAATACTGTATACTGCATTGAAACAGATGAGGGAGAGGACTATTTAGGTGGAATATATGATTAGGTATTACTGTCATGACAAGAGTCCAGAATGAAAGCTACAAAGTGGAGTGGATTTGGGGGGGGGGGGCGGATTGTATAACAATAAAAGAATTTTTTTTTTTTATTTTCAAAGAGAAAAGAGAACTAGTGGGTGAGGAGCAGGCAGGGAGGAAAGTGTGTAACAATGAATGAATAGAAATCCAAAGTCTCTGTAAACTTTCATTAAAATAAAATTAAAAATGCCTGCCCCATAATCAAGTCAGCTACATAAACTAATTCAAAGTATAATCTGAAGCATGCTCCAACAAATCATCCATCACCCCAAAATAGTAAGAATAAAGATCTGAACAAGAAGGTTGACTCTACTGCCAAAAACATCACTCTCTTAATTAAATAATGTGATTTGGTGGCGATCAGAGAGCCAAATCGTAAGCATTGCTACTAAGAAATCTGGCCTGATGGAAAAGGGAGGAGGAGTCTGGAAGCTTACCAAACCAGCCTAGGTCAAGAAGTTCCTTGTTACCAGAGGCTTCAATTTAGGAGCATTTAAGGGTCCCTAGGGCCAGAGAAGCGCTCAAAAGGCTTTATGTCTTATCTTTAGAGCCACCTCAGTTATAGGAGATACTTTCACTCTCTCATTGCATCATATGCATCAACCAGCACAGCAACAAGCACATGTGACACTTCCCAGAGCATGAGTATTACCGGTAGCACCCTTTGGGTCGGCCCCAGACAAGGTGGCCTGCTACCTTAGTTCTCCCAAGTACAGCATCATCCTTCCACAGCTCTTGTTTAAGATGATGCCCTCTGCTGGCGGCATGGGGAATGCAAGCCTCACAGAGAGTCTGGGAGATGAGGAACCACAACAGAGGATGACTGTGTTAGAAAAAGGATAAATGAAAAGACTGTTTTATAAGACAAGCATAAGTCAAATGAGGCGACCAACTCAGATATGAATAGGCTGCTAGCAATGAACACAAACTAACCTAAGGATATGGAGTGAAAGAATGAGCGAAGGGAGAGTGGAGAGTGTTAATACTTTTTTATGCCCAGAAATACAACAACAACAACAAAAAAAAAGTGCTTTAGATATTGAAGCCCCCCACCAAAAAAAAAAAGGGAGAGTGTTAATATTTTTCTTAAACAAAGATGACATTTCTTTTTCTATGGCTCTTAGGTCACAGAATACACTCTTCAGAAATGAAGAGGGTGCAGGGCCCAGTGACCCTTACGGGTTATGAATGGCTTCAGAGTGGTCGGCAAGAACCACACCAGAGATGTTCTGAGCACGAAGGAATCGCTGCAGAGAAGATGGCGGGAGAGGCCAGGACTGGTTGGGTCTCCTGAGGATGACAGCTGGGATCCCCGCACCAATGCTCTCCAGGGTGGTCAGGAGGTGTTCCACCTGGGGAGATGAGGGAGAACTGACTGGAGGCTGGGGGACAGGACCTAGGAGGGCTCTTTTAAGTTGGAGATGCTCTGTTTATTAAGCCCCCTGCTTGGAGGGCTGCCCAAAATCTACTAAGAAGCAAAGAAGGCCTCAGAGATGTCAATTCTTGAAGCTTTTTGGGACTAAAATGGTTGGGATTTTCTGTAGCTTCTTACTGGAGTAGAAAATCCATTTTGTGAGGCAGAAAATTAGGGCACTGACAGAATAAGCCTGTGTTTCTTAGTATTTACAAGTAAATTCTGCACTCCTCTGTATTTTGCCTTATCCTTAAGTAGACACTCCAAGAGGCTGGACTGGTCTATTTATTACTTGTTAATAATAAACAATAATAAAAAATTAGAGGAGTAAATTAATAATGGGGAACAGGGTATTGGATGCCTAATAGGCAATCTATTCTTTAAGGGGTACAGGGAATTCCAGAGTATGGAAGAAACTGGTGTGGCAGGAAGAGGACTTCATAGAAAAGTCCAGTTGAGCTGGACTTTGAAGGAAGGAAGCGACTTGAACAATCATGAGGAAAATGTGAGAACCTGGCACCATAAGGAACTGGGCAGCCTTAACAAATGGATACATGGGCACCAGGAGAGAAGGGAATCAATTACTAACTAGCCCTAAATGATTAGTGATAGTTGGCAAGACAATGAATGATTTAGTAATTCTAGGAAACCAGTGCTATGTAACTAGTGTTGATTCTTTTCAGGGAGATAACAGCTGTGGTGTTGATCCTAGAGCCAATACTCAACCTCAGCTCTTTTATCACAGGCCCTGAGGATACCTACTTGGGGACAGAGCTGCGTGACTATTTTCTGTACTGTTGAGACAGGAAGGGAGGAGAGATGCTCAGTTTACCTGGTTCCGTACAGTCTCGTTTCTCTGAGACATGGGGTCTGTGTGCATCCAGAGATCTAGTGAGGTTCTTAAGGCCACCTGGGGGAGGATGAAGAAGTAACACTAATCATCAGTTTCCTGCTAACAGTCAGTCTCCTGCTCTGGCTGAGCTGAGAACAAAGGTGGGGCTAAAGGAGACAAGGGAAGAGGCAGTATATCTACAATAAGGACAACTGAACACCAGAGGAGGATATTTTAAGGAGGAAGGAAAAGGCTGGGGAACAAATACTGCATACCTGTCCCAGCTCCACAAATGAGTCAATGTTTTCTAACTTCACAGGGAACTTGCCATTCTCCATATCATAGACCATTCTCGAGCTGCCAATGTAGTCGAAAGTTTCCTGAAGTGTGAGGATGGGCAGAAATAGATAATAGACATTCCAAGGACTAGGGAAGCCTGAGATCATCAATGCTCTAGACAAGAAGCTTGCTGTCTCAGGTCTTCTCAACCACTAGCCAACTTATACAGTCATGTGAGTATGTCCTCCTCCCCGCCTGCTTCCCAGCTGTGACTATCCATCACATGTATGCATGTATCACAGGGCTTCCTGAGGTCAGATCTGGGGGAAGTAGTCTCTGCAGAGGCCCAAGGCGAACATCAGCTGTTACATGCCTGCATTTTGACTCTCTTTTGCCTCTGCCAGCTTGGTCCCAGCTGCTGTCACCTTACTCTAGGGCCAAGCGGAGCAGCCAGTGCAAAGAGGCAGGAATCTGAGAGCGCAAACATGAAAGGACACCTCAAACTGGTCTCATCAGTGAGGATACAGGGGAGGAACAGTACACCAATTATGGGTATCAGAGATACATATCAATATATCCAGCAGTTCTGGACAATGAGGCCACAGGTTGTGATCCCACTCATCCCCAACCTGTGGACCTGGTAGCTAAAAAGCACCAGTCACTGCCACCTTCCTGACCCCTCCTGTCACCCTATTCCACCCTTACCCCTTGGAAAAAGATGAACATGACATTTTTAGGCAGGGTAGTCACATCAGGTGCCTTCTGCAAAGCTTCGGCTGCAGCCAGCTGGGTGACGAAGGAGGCAACGGCACTTTCAGCCCCCGGGGCCACATTCCAGAAAAAGGAACGGCTGTCCAGCTGGGGACAATAGCGGAAAAGGCAGAGGAGGCACACTTTAGACCAGGACATTAGAACCAGTACCCCAAACTTCACTTCCTAGTTTAGTTAAAATACACATCCTTGGGTGATTACTGAACACTGAAGCTTACATACCAGGCCCCTCTCCATTTAACACCCTCCTATAGTGGAACTCTGAAATCTGATATGCCCAAGAGGCCAACTTGCCCTTTGTGTGCCAGCCCTAGGCCACCCGGCTTTAGCGGCCAACACTTACCCGGGTAGCAGCAACCACAACCTTGTCGTCAGGCCCTAAAGTCCCAGATGTATTTATAGGCTTAAGCGTGCTCCATACGTTATAGTCAGACAGAGGATCACAGACAATTTCTGAGCAAGACAAAAACATGAGAGACCAGCAAGAGTCAGGGAGAGAGTGGCATACAAGGAAGGCATAAATGACTTCTGATGAGTGCCCCAGACACTCCATGCGTCTCTACCTCCAAGGGCTCCAGGGTAGTTCTGTTGCTGTCTATTCAGGGGCAAAGTGCCTCACAAGTTCAGAGTTGTTTTCATGTCTCTCCCCAGGATTCATTCCTCCCCTACTACAGTCACTTCAACACTAGAAGGGACACCCAGCTACTTCCAGCGTACCTGGCAGGTTTCAGAGCTGTCCTACCTGGGTTGATGCTGAAGGTGCTCTGAATGGAGCTACGTCGCATACAGGTGACAGTGCTGATGACAGCATGCATGTGTGAGAAGAGCTGCATGGCACACAGTGGGAAGGTTGGTGCTGAGCCATTCTGACTCAGGTTGTGATCTCGATAACACTAGAACAGGAAGGGTGCCACTTGAAAAAGCTTGCTGTGGGTCTACTGCCACACTGTTGGGCCACCCCGTATCTGTCCCTGAGCTATGGCTGTCCTGGCATCAGGATCTAGAGGGTTAAAGAGGTGCCAAGGAGCATGGACTCAATGTCTTAGTTGGGGCAGATATAATTACCCAATCCAAATGCCCCAATTTGGATATTCACCAACTGTTCCCAATAAGATTAAATGTAAAGAGCACCAAACTGGAAATCAAAAAGATTCAAGACAGCCTGGACATCAACTCACCACACAACTTTGGGCACATTTCTAAAGCCAGACTAGACTTTATAGAACATTCAAGCTAAAAAGAACTTTACAAATTACCAAAATAAATTCCTAGTCCAATACCAGTGGTCTTAAGCAGGGCTGTATACCTTCACATTTAACATTCTCTCATTTTCTTCGAGTCTTAAGTCTTTCTTTACTATGCTGTGATACCAGGAAGCAGAGAGAACTGAGAGAGGGGAATGTGAGACAAATCCATTTCTTCGCTTTTTTTAAAAAGAACTACCTTCCTGACATTAGTGAGCAACGTGTAATAAAAGGTTTGTTAATCTCCATAAATAAACAAAACTACCTTCCATTGTTTCTTCAAACAAGAGTGCCTAAAACGATAATCCTGATCCGCTCCTCATCATTTCTCTAAACACAATTACTGGGAGCTGGCAGAATCTTTACCTGTTTGATGACATTGGTTTCATTTTCGTCTTCAAGAAGAAAAATAGGAAAATTAAAGTCTTCATAGGCCAAGCCGTTGCCATGTGGGTTCCACGGCTTATCCTGACAATGAGCAAACTCTGGCCCATAGGAATTGGAGTAAATACCTAAGTGGGAGAATGGAAGATAAAGTTGTAGGACCCCAGGCACTTAGGACCAGGAAAGAGAAGGTTAGTATACCACAGGGTCAGGACAAGAGTTCAAAATGAGGAGGTGGCTTAAAGAAGCAGAGACTGGTCTACCACCATCCATTGTACATGAATATCAGAGAAGCAGCCTGGCAGACAGAGAATGTGAACACATCAAGAAGAAAGGTAGAGAGGAGAAGGATAAGTGAACTAATAAATATTATCTATTTGGGACTTAATTACTTATACATCACACACCTATAGACAGAGAGAGAAAGGGGGGGAGAGAGAGAGAGAGAGAGAGAAAGACAGATAGAGAGAGGAGAGGGGAAAGTGGTGAAGGGAGGAGAGAGGAGAGGAGAGGGGATGGGAGGGGAGGGGAGAGGAGAGGAGGAAGGGAGGAGGGAGGGAGGGAGGGAGAGGAAGGAGAGGGGAGAGAAGAGATAGCAAGGATATTAGCAAAAGACAGAAGTATCTAGCCAATATCACAAAAGTAGCAGCAACCTTGGGTAACAGAAGGCTCCCTGCTCCTTTGGGGCTCTTACCAAACCCATCATTGGGACAGTGCACACTAGGAGAGAAGCCTTCGGGGGGACTGGGCTTGGCCAAGGCTACAGCAAGGCCAGCAATACGACCGGATGTTCCTTTCATCTTTTCCATCAGTTTCCTGCAGTAAGAAGGGAATGTCATGAAGGCTTTGCGTGGCCTAATATCCTGTAGCCCTCTTCCTTATTCCCTCCCACTCCTGCCAATGGAAACAAATAGGGAATTCGAGAACTCCTGTATTTTTCTCTAACTTCTGAGTCTGGACTATGATTTAAACTGAGATTTGGGATTAATCTTATCTACCCTTTTCATGAATGGCCTAGGACACTATCCTTCTTCTCTTCTGGGGTCCTTATTCATTAGAGCTCTACTTTAAGGGTCACTGAGAGGACACTATGTTGATTAGACCAGGGCAGTTCAAAGGAAGCTTTCACCCACAAGTATGGGGCACGAATGTTCATTGACCTTCCCCTCTTTGGATTCATTTACCAGTAGGTACACTCAGTTCTTACCTGTTAAAGAGCTTGCCCTCCAGTAGTACCATGTATGGTGGGTTGGGGCCATCAGTTAACGCCCACTGCAGGTCTTCTTCTTTCTCCACTACATGAATAACTCCTGTATCTCCACTAATGGAAGCTGCCAAGACAGAATGGGTCAAATTATAATTCTCATAGTTGACAATTCTCATTACTTTATTGAACGGCTAGACCATTTATTCACCAACGATGTTAATCACCAGCACTGGGTTAACGTGGCCACCTCTGGATTTGGACTGAAGAGCCGAATTACCGCAGCTCCATGTGAAGGCTACTCAGAAGGAACAGGAGGCAGAAGGGCCCAAGAGGACTATTCATTAAGGTAGCCACATTACCTAGATGTCAGAAAGGCATGGTGATCTTCATCTGCTTGCCTCTTCCCTCAACCTCACTTGGCCATATTCTTTAAGACTCTACAAAAGTAGACACCAAGGTTTCCAAACCTGTATTTTCTCCAGGAAATATCAGGCTCTAGGTCTCTAGCTTGGTGTTCCTCCTTTGTGAATCATATGTGTAGATTTGCTTGGCTTCAGTAGCCTTCCTGGATCTTCATTCCTTTTGCCCTATTTGGGAATGACTTTACTTGCTTTTGGTAAGTTTTAGTTAATGTTAATGAAAACGTTTGAGAACTCAGAGCTGAGCTTCCCAATTTCGAGACTTGAATAGGTAAGAGATATGTTGATATTGGTTCTCTGTAGTCCTTGAAAGAGTAGGAGCCTGAGCTTCCAAAGTGAATAGTCTGGTTGTTTCTACCCAGGAACAGACTCATCCACTCACCCTAGGGTGCCCCACAAAGATCATTCATTGCTGTATGTACCGGGTGCCAGCCAAATCATTTCTCTGTGTCTTATGGTATACAAGATGAGAAGCACTGCTTAAAAAAGTAGACAATCTGAAGTCCAGAATGCCCTGAGTTCTACACAGTGATACCCTTAAAATCCCTAGTAATCCATGCAGAAATATGTCCAGGTGTGTTACCAAAAAATTATTTTACAGAAGTAGTTTTCAACCCATGTAATTAGTTAAGAATCATTCTGGAGTAAAAAAAAAAAAGGTATAGCTACCTGGGCTTACCTCAAACCTACTAAATTAAAATCTCGAGGCCAGGCCCAGGTATTTGAATTTTTAAAACCATACCACATACGGTTCTTCATGAAATAAACACTGCCAACCATGAGAACTATGGTTCTAGACTAAGGCACTGAAGTACTTGTAACTGACACGAGACAACAACCATAAACACTTATAGACTGCCAGACAAGCAAGTATTTTCTCCTGCTTGGTCTGGTAAAATCTAGATATAGGGGCAGGTTCTCCCACACACCATCTTATAGATAGTAAGGATTCAATAAATTCATGTTAGATAGTGATGGTGGATGAAACTCTTAAGAATCTGAACCATTCCAGTCTGCATCTGGAATAACTCTGGTAAAGATCTAAATACCATCGGCAGTTCTAAGTTCATCAAAATACAACAGAGTCCTTGTCATAGTACCTGAAATAAGGGACAAGAAAAAAATAGTCTAGCAAAGAAAAACTATGTAACTCCAGTTCTGAGAGAGGCCTTGAACAAGTTAGGATACTTGACTGAAAAAGAAAAACAACTCCGCATTCTAAATTGGACTGCATAATCTTAAGTAACATGCTTCCTTTCTCTAGGGAAAAGTTTTTCTACTCCCTAGTCACCTAGTCATCTCATACTGTGGGAATACTTTTTTAAAAGGAAGGAAGGAGAAAAGAAAAAGAAATCTACACCTACCCCTTGGGACACTTCAGAGAAAAATAATCGGATAGAAATGGTATTTTATAATCAGAAAAGTAAACTATTTCTTTAGTTTTATCATACCAGCAACTCCAATTAAAGAGGGTGTAGCTTACTCAGGACAGACAAGATGAAGGCTGAGAAATAAGTGGAAATAGGAACCAAGACCTTAATGAGGAAATGAACAAAGTCCAGCCTTTCACCTTTCCTCTCTCAATACTGGAACTTGGTTTTATCTCTACAGGCTATTGCGTTCTTCCTTCAGAGCTGCTCTAAGAATATGCTACGAAATAGATGTTTGCATTTTTTGGCCCCACCAAATAGAAAGTTGCATTAGGAAACAAACGCATGTAAGCCAACATTTATGAATGACGAATCCCAGAAGGAACTACTCAGAACTCGGCTCCAAAAGGACAGCATCTTGGCCATCTTCACTTACAGCGTGGTTCCAGGATGACTAGTAGTCATAATCTCAGTTCACACTCTTTTCTATCCACAAACACAGTTTAGGATCTAAGCCAAACAGAATTCTATTGGGGGTTGTTTGGGATTAGTCAATGTATTTTCTCAGCATCTAACAAAGTCCCTTGCTTTCTTTTCCACTGTCTCCATTTTCTCCTACCAAACTGGAAAACTCTTTCAAGCAATCACAGTGCTGCTGAAACTACATCAGCTATTCAGCATTTATAAAAACACCTCTCAGAAGGTACTCTGACTCTGAACTTTGTATGGAACTACTGTATTCTTTAGGTGTAAATTTGATTGGATGATGAAGCAGCAAAATCAAACCCTAAGTTTCTGTGATATAGTGAGTCTACGGTTCAAAATGGCTTTCCTAGGTCATTGCCTTTGATAATGGCTGGGTGGGGATGTGTAAATAGACGCGTTAGTATGTCTAGCAGGAAAATGGCTAGTTTTGCCATTTTACCAGGTTTAAATTGAGCAGGTTCAGAGACAGAAATATGGTATCTCATTACCATTAAAGAAGTGGAGAATGCAGTGCATATAAGTGCCAGAGATTCTTGCTAGAACTAGAGGAGAGCACCAGTAGCTGTAGAAGAGATCCAAAGACCTGACGTGAGACAGAGCTGACCTGGGACTGCTGTCCCATAGAACCAGCTAGGAGCCCAAGTTTGCTGGAGGACTTGGAAGGACGGTGTGTATGTGAATGCCTTAACTGCAAGGACTAAGAGAATTTTGTACAGTGCTCTAGTGGCTCAGTGGTAGGGAACTGCACTGCCATCACAAAGGTATGTGGTTTGAATTCACCAGCTGCTCCTTGAAAGAAAGTTGGGCAATCTCCTCCTGTGCCATTTACTGCCTCTGAAAAGCTGCTGGAGGGTCAGGTCCGACTTGATGGCACTCAACAATAACAAGAGAGCTTTCTAACACAGGCCTAAAGCCACAAGTCTGAAGGCTCAAGGGCCTGTGAGCATGCTTCAGAAGCTGTCTCAGCTTAGGAACTGTATCCTGCTGCCAATCTGAAATGTAACCTATTAACTTCCCTAAAAAATCTCATAGTCCTAAGTATGGATCTATGAGGTCTTTGACCAGTAGAACAGTATGATTGTTGTGGGAATTACTAGAAAGTGGTATAGATTGTGGAAGGCATGCCCGACCCCATGGGAATTTCTATTTTGTTGTAGATGCTGCTGATGGGAACAGTTCCTCCTTGTGGAGTCAGCAGAAGCCAGTCAGACTTAGCCTTCCCTGTGCTGCCTTTGCTCATTTTACAGTTTCCTGCCTATCCATAAAACTGCATTTTGACAGTTACCATCCATGAAAAATGACATCTAAAGATAATAGGTTAGGAACCGGGGAATATCTCAAGAGAGCAGGTTAGCAGTAGAACAACTGGGATTCAGCCTTTTATATCACAATTCCCCCCCTTGATCCCATGATTTTTAGAACCATGAAGTAATGGTTTTGGAATACATTTATAAAGCATAAAGACAAGTCCACATGTTTGACCAATTCTTCTTGGCAACTATTTGACATTCGCCTTCTTAAATAGTTTACTATCTTTAAAAAGCCCATTTTGATCATTTGATCCTTTATTCTCACCATCAGAGGGCAAAGGATGACTGGATCCCCTTGGATATATGGAGACTCCTTTCTACTTAGAACATATTATAAGTAGATGATCGAGGCTTGGTTTAGAGTTTGGACCACCAGGGCTCAACTTCTACCTTTATCATGTATCACCAAGATAATCTCAGGAAAAGTTATTTAACTTTTCTAAGCCTCACTTTTTAAAAGTAGGAATAATAATAGAACTACCTCATGGGGATGTTGTGAGAGTTAAATTAGACGTACATGTATAAAGAGTGGTATATAGCACTTACTAAATGTTAGCTCTTACTATCTTGCTTGGCTTAACAGATGGTTTTCTACCACCTCCTGCCCACATAGTCTAATTTGAGTGCTGAGTTTCCCAAACAGGAAACAGGTCTTACTTTATTATGTAGGGCACAGAATAAAATGCCATTGGCCACAAACAAATCCCAACCCCAACTCACACTGACAGCCAATCTGATGAGTGGCATTGAGCAGACGGACACAGGGAGCGGTTTTATTTAAGGGGATGTAGATCTTCCTCTCCACTGAATTTCCCCTGGACAAACCTAAGATGAGAAAAGGTATTATAAGTTGAGAGACATTGTTTATTAGCCTCTATCATCCCATCAACTTACTGAATAACTTGGGTTAAGTCAACTTTTACTTTGTAAAAGAAGAATAGTCATTCCTCTGACTTCTTGAGCATCTTGTTGTTTGTCGTTATGTGCCATCGAGTCGCTTGCGACTCATAGCGACCCTATGTACAAGAGCCCTAAATGCTGTTCTATCCTGTGCCAACATTGCTGTCTCAGACACACTCATTCCCACCACTCCATTCACAGAATCGATCTATCTCATCGAGGGTCTTCCTCTCCTGTGCCGTCCCTCCACACTCCCAAACATGATGTCCCTCTCCAAGGACCAGTCCCTCCTTGCTACATGCCCAAAGTATGTCAGACGAAATTTCAGAATCCTTTTCTCCAAGGAGCATTCTGCCTTCAACCTCTCCAGGACAAACCTGTTTGTTCTTCTAGCAGTCCATGGTATATTCAACACTCTTCTCCAGCACAGTTCAAAGGCATCAATTCTCTGTCATCCCTATTCACTGTCCAACTCTCTGATGCATAGCACGTAATTGTGAAGACTATAGCCTGGATCAGGTGCACCTTAATCTCCAGCCTGATGTCGTCGCTCTTCAGTACTCTTGAGGTGTCCCTCACATATGACTTTCCCAAAGCAATTCATCTCCTGATTTCCTTGCTGCTGTTACCAAGAGTGTTGACTGCAGAACCAAGTAAACTAAAACTGTTATCTATCTCAATCGCTTCACCATCCACATTGATGCTGCCAATTGGCCCAGTGGTGAGAATCTTTGTTTTCCTGACATTGAGCCTCAATCCATATTGGAGGCTGCAGTCCTTGACCTTCTGCAGCAAGCACTTCAGGTCCTCCTCAGTTTCAGCACAAATAAATGTTCTACAAAGTACTCAGCTATATGCCTTAGAGAGTTATTATAAATTCCATGTAGAAAAACTGGTACTGAATTTGAGAGAAATTTTTATTTGTCAAAGGCAAGGCATATTTGACCTTAGCTATGTCAGTTTCTGGCTGCATAGCTGACCATACACCTACTTTTCTGTCCTGTCTGTTGTTAGGTGCCATCGAGTTAAGTACGACTCACTGCAACCCTATGAACAAAAGATCTAAAGCTTGTCTTATCCTGGACCATCCTCACAATCTGACACACTTGAGCCCATTGCTGCAGTCATTGTGTCAGTCCATCTGCTTGAGTCGTCTTCTCCTTTGCCATCCCTCCACATTTCCAAGCACAATGTCCCTGTACAATGAATAGCCTCTCCTAGCAACATGCCCAAAGTATGTGAGATGAAGACTTATCATCTTTGCTTCCAAGGAGCACTCTGGCTGCACCTTTTCCAAGGCGTACCTATTTTCTTTTGCCAGTCCGTGGAATATTTTGTACTCTTTTCCAATATAACAATTCGAAAGCATAAATCCTCCTTCTACGATCCTTACTCATTGTCCAGTTCTCATATATATATCTCAAATGACTAAAAAGACCAGGGCCTGAATCAAGTATACCTTATTCTTCAAACTGACATCATTGCTCTTCAATAATTTGCAGAGGTACCTGACTATAGACTTTCCTGGTATAATATGTCTCCTGACAGCTGGTACCAAGTGTACTGATTACAGATCCAACTAAGATGAAGTCATTGACAAATCAATCTTTTCTCCATCTATTGTGATGTTTTTTTTTCTTTTATGTTGCTATGTATTGAAGGCTGTGGTGTTTGACCTTCTGCAGCCAACACTTCAAGTCCTCTTCACTTTAAGCAAGCAAGGTGTGTCATCTGCATAGCGAAAGCTCCAATGATGCCACATTCTTCTAATTTGTTAATAAAAGGGTGCAGACTGTAAAACACAAATTTTCTGAGATACTAAGTAATTCAAACAGACTTTCTTGTTAGTTGTTTTTAAGTAGGCTCTGACTCATGGCAATTTATAATATGTTTGCATCCATTATTGAGGCTGTAATATTACAATGCTTTTTCTAGTAATGGTCTTTCCTGATGATTTGTCCACAATAAACAAGATGAAGTCTTACCATACTCAACCCTAAGGAACACTCCAGTTATATTTCTCTAAGAATTAGTTATTTGCTGTTTTAGCACTCTGTGATATAGTCAATACAAACAGAACTGAGTGAAGCCTTATGCTACACACCTGTCAGAGTTGATCTACTCATAACCAATGCACTAGTGGGTCATCTGTGTGTTCCCACGCCATGGAGTAGCTAAGTCTTTCTTATGGAGTCTTTACACATAATGTGAATTCGAAGGAAAGCACGTGTTACATACAGGTATATTTACATTTTAAAGCGCTAACAACTGTGAAACGATACATCAAATATAAATTAGAGTAAGTAAACACTAATGTGTATCACAAATGCATAGAGTTCCTTGTATTATTACTTCAGGATAACAAGAACAAAAACCCAAAAGAGTTAAGAATATCCATATCATAAATCTCACTTTACAGATGAGACAAATTGAGACAAGGCACAGAGAAGACATACGGGTTTACAGAGAAACTAAGATACGAAGAAAGGAGGGAATCTCCTTTCCAAATTCGGGAAATAAATCCACAGAGCGAGGCAAGTTTCATGACAAAAAGTCCAACGCTCTGGGAAGTAAGCTTAACTCTGACACCCGTCTCTTGATTGTGGGTGGGGTGTCTGGGCTGTGCGGAAAGCTAGGCATCTAAACAAAGTGAGAGAGAGTTGGATAGAAAGACCAGGAAGAAGCATGCAAGAGGGAAGGGCCTGGCACAATGTGCCGCAGGGGATAAGGGATCTTCAAGAAAAGGGGGAACTTCTGTCATAGGAACGAAAGAGAAAAAGGATTTACTGGGTGGGGGGACAGCGGAGCAGGGACCAAAAAGGAGACGGTGGCTCTCGCTGCTGGCGAACCGGGGGTTCTTAAAGAGAGGAGTTCTCGGTGGGGGAAGCCTCACCTGCCAAGAGGACGCAGAAAGACAGAAGGCGAAGAAGAGCCTGACTTCCCCAGACAGGCTCAGAGCCACCCCCAGCCGTAGCCATCTTGCCTATCCGCTGAACGGAAGCCTCTGTTCCCCTCCAGTCCCGTAGTGGCCTCTCTAGGCCATCAGCGGCGTCATCTCTGTGGCCCAGCGCCTCAAAACCGGAAGTTCGTATATGAAGGTGCTTCCGGTGGACACCTCGGAGGGACGCTGACGTGGAGGCCACCAGAGGACTGCAGGGAGTGGTGGAACACATACTAAGCCCTCTGATCCGGAGGTCGGAAGGATGCTAACAAAATTTGAGACCAAAAGCGCCCGGGTTAAAGGTAATGGAGAAGAAAAAGGGGAGCTCAGAGACTGCCTATCAGAGGCAGCTCTGTGATGGGGCAAGAGATGGGGGTAGACGTACCGCTGAATTTGACCCTCTGAAGGACCGAAAGGAAAACGAGAGCGAAGGAAATCAAACCTGGCAGGCAGTTTTTCAGTTCTCTCTTTGCTGTGGTCTGGCTTAAGTACAGGGTGGTCCCTGCACCAACAGCTGTGTCGCCACCTCGTCTCCACCCCTACATGTAGTCTTTGGGTCCGCACCCTGTTCTTCCCTTTCTCCTGTGCTCCTGGAAGCTGTTCTCTCGACTTCTGCATAGAAAACCCTATGTCTTTTTGCTGATCATGTTGTGAGTCGTGACCCCTTGGGATTGAGATCTTTGCCACTCTCACCGGTAGCTTTTTTGGGGATGAGCCCTGGCTACCTCATTTCAGGAAGCCTGCAACCTATCAATACCCATTGCTTCCAGTGGTCTCTTTCTTACCCTAAATCAGGAGTTTGAGATTTGTAATCCTCAGTGGAATCTGAACTTGACAGCTAGCTGTCAAAGTACAAATAACTCAGGTAAAATTTAATTCCGATTAGCAACGAATAATTTTATAGTATTCATTGCTTATCTGAAATTCAAACTTAACTAGGCATCTTGTGTGTCTAATTGCTAGATGTGGCAACGCTAGAGCTGGAGTATCTAGAAGAGTCGATGGGGTTGGGACAAATAATTGAAATGGAAGTAGTGATCGCTCAGATTGTTATAATAGCAAAGACAGTCAAGTAAAGTCCAGTGAGACCTAGAAAAAGAATTCAAGCTGCAGTATTTAATAAGGTGCAGCATAGTCAAATTTTAGACTCAGATGAGCTTGTCTTTGGAATGTGGAAACATCACTAAAAAATTTATTACCTTGAATGACATTTTTAATAAATCTACTCTAAATCTGGTTCCACATCTTTTATATGTGAATACTTAATATTGTTTTTAAAAGAGCACTAAGGAGGCATGGCAATTAAGCATTCAGTTGCTAACTGAAAGATCAGTGGTTTGCACCCACTAGCTGCTCCTCTGGAGAAAGACGTGGCAGTATGCTTCTACAAAGACTTACAACTTTGGAAATGCTATGGAACATTTTTACTCTGCCTATAGAGTCACTATTTCCTCCTCTTTGGCTCTGGTTGTTGGTGCATATATTTGAATGATGGTGGTATTCACTGGTTTTCCTTGTATGTGTACTGGATATTATCCTGTCACTCACAACATTGTATTGCAAGATGGATCTAGAAATGATTTTTGTAACTATGAAAGTAAACCCACTTTTTCTCACCTTTTTGTCTCCACCATAGTAGATCATATGGTCCTCTGACTCAAAATGTCCCATGCCAGCCCATCTCATTTCACCGATACCTAGTATGTCAATATTTATGTGTTCCATTTCCCTCCTAAAAATACCCAATTTCCCTACATTCATGGGTTTTACATTCCATGTTCCAATCATTAGTGTCTGCTTACAGCTATTTCTCCTTCTATTTGTTCCCATAGTTGAGGGCTCAGCTTCAGTTGCCATATCTGGTAGTCTAAGTGTGTTCTTTTGTACAGAGGGTTTTCAGAGGCCTGCTATTTCAGAAGTGGATAGCCAATCCTTCTTCCTAGTTTGTCTTAATTAGATTGCTCAAATTTAGAACATTATCTGATAGACAAGCATTTTACAGACACGAGCAGATTCATATCATCGATATCACATGTAAGCAAGATTCTGCTGAAGATCATCCAAAAGCAACTGGAACAGCACATCAACAGAGAACTATCTGAAGTACAGGCTGGATTTAGAAGAGGCCATGGCACTAGGCATATTATAGCTAATGTCAGATGGATCTTAGCTGAAAGCAGAGAGTACCAGAGGAATATCTATTTGTATTTCCTTGACTATGCAGAGGCATTTAACTCTGTGGATCACAACAAACTGTAGCCGACTTTAAGAAGAATGGGAGTCCCAGAACAGTTGATTGTGCTTATGTGAAACTTATACTTGGACCAGGAGGCAGTTGTCAGAACAGAGCAAGGAAACACTGCATGGTTCAAAACTGGGAAGGGTGTGCATCAAGGATGTGTTCTATTCTTATATCTGTTCAATCTATATGAATAAATTATCCGGGAGGCTGGGCTCTATGAGGAGAAGTGTGGCATCAGGATCGGAGGTAGACTCATCAACAATCTGTGTTATGCAGATGACACAACCCTGCTTGCTGAAACTGAGGAGGACCTGAAGTGCTTGCTCAACATCAAGAAAACAAAGTTTCTCACCACTGGGCCGATTGGCAGCATCATGATTGATGGTGAAGAGATTGAGATTGTTGACAGCTTCAGTTTGCTTGGCTCTACAATCAACACTCTTGGTACCAACAGCCAGGAAATTAAAAGATAAATTGCATTGGGAAAGTCTACTGTCAGAGACCTTTCCAAGGTACTGAGGAGCAACAATGTCATTTTGGAGACTAAGATGCACCTGATACAGGCCATCATCTTTACCATTACTTGCTGTGCATCAGAGAGCTGGACAATGACTAGGGATGATAAAAGGAGAGTTAATGCCTTTGAGCTTTGGTGCTGGCAAAGAGTATTGACTATACCATGGACTATTAGGAGAACAAACAAGTTCGTCCTGGAGAAGGTGAAGCCAGGGTGCTCCTTGAAGGCAAGGCAAGGATTCTGAAGCTCCATCTGACATACTGTGGACATGTTGTAAGGCAGGATCAGTCCTTGGAGAGTAACTTCATGCTTGGGAGGGTAGAGGGACAGCACAGGAGAGGAAGAACCTTGATGAGATGGATTTATTCCATCACTGGGGTAATGGGGATAGGTGTGTCAGAGACAATAAGGTTGGCAAGAGATAGAGCAGAGGCTAGGGCTCTTATACATAGGGTCGCTATGAGTTGCAAGTGCCTTGACAGCACATAACAACAACAGTAGAGTCACTATGAGTTGGAATCAGTTTGACAGTGGGTTTGTATTTGGCCATAAAAAGAACTAAAATAAACTATATGAAAAGTACCCATCACAAACTCAAGTTTAATAAATTGAGGGCATTATTAGTATGAGAATTGATTTTGAGAAGTTTCTTAAGTCTCATGGGAATCTTCATCATGAAGAACACTACAGATTTCTGGCATCTAGGTAGGTAGTTGATAAGAGCCCCCCCACCCCCCACCCCCCATCAATAGAATAGAATAGTACTGACCATAGGATTTCCAGAAGTATAAATCTTAACACACACACACACTCACTCTCTCTCACACTCACACTCTCACTCTCTCCCTCTTTCTCTCCCTCTCTCTCCACACATACTCCCACATATCCCACCCTTGCCAATGCTGTGAATCTTTACACAATCAGACTACCTCATCTTGTCCACATAGTAGCTGATGAGTTCAAACCGTCAACCTTTTTGTTAATAGTCAAATGCTTTGCCCACAACACCACTAAGGTTTCTTTTTTTAAATTTTTTTTACAAACTAGACCCTGGTTTTTGATAGCCAAAAATTGGGAGAAAAATGTCTGTCATTAGAATAATAGTTTAAAAATGTAACTTATTTGTACCTTGCAATGAAAAAGGACAAAAGTATGTTTCTACACACTTTAATGAGATTCACAGTAGTCACATGAGAAAAGATCTTTTCAGGACAAGATTATAATATGATCTCTATTTCCATATAAAGAATACAACCTATGTGCATATGTGTGAATTTATGTGTAAGTATTTTCATTAAAATTCTGAAGATTGTACTCCAAACTTAATGGTCATTATATCTAGGACTTCCATTTGTAGTCATGATAGAGTAACAGGGATCAGATTTATCTTCCAACCTTAAACATCTACTTTTCTGAACAAAATGTGTGAAACAAAGATTTTCACACAACAGGCAATGAAGAACATGAGTCTGTTACTGTTTAGCATATTACTTGAAAAGAATTTCCAGCCCACAGTGAAAGAAAATAAAAAACCTTGTAGTCTTGCTGTGTTAAACAGAGTGGCTAGAATTTTCTGAACAAAGTACCAATGGGAGAGAGTTGCACAGAGATGACTACAGATCTGCATGGAATCCCCTTGGATCTTTGGCTAAGTACTGATTGCCCATGTATGTGAGGAAGCTACTTAGAGCTGGGGAAGGAACCTTGATAAAGGAAGAAGAGCAATCTCCGGAGCTCACATAGGCCTTGAAGTCGTTTGTTTCAGTGAGCCAGAATAGATAGACCATCTAAGGTATAAAGTATCTATATAGAGACCTGAGATGGTATTGTTTTGAAACTAGTACAGGTAGCCATTGAGTGCTTTTTGATTTATGGCAACTCCATGTATGTCAAAGTAGAACTGTGCTCCATAGGGTTATCAGTAACTGATTTTTCCAGGGCTTTCCTATGAGGTGCCTCTAAGTGAACTTAACCTTTTGGCTAACAGCCAAAAATGTTAACTTTGTACCATCCAGTGGCTTCATTGACTTAATAAGAATGACTGAAGTTGATTCCAACTCATGACAACCCATTGTAGTGCAGAGTAGAGCTCTTCCCCATAAGCTTTTCCATGATTGTGACTAGTTTGAAGGAGATCACTAGAGTTTTCTTTTGAGGTGCCTTTGAGTAGTTCTGAACTGCCAACCTTACTGGTTCGTAGCTAAGCAGTTAACTATTTGTGCCACTAGAAATTTTATCTGTTAATACCCCAGATCAGTTACCATTGAGTTTATTATGATTCATGGCAACCCGTATAGGTTGGA